GAGAAAAGGAAAGAAGGGAAGGGAAGGGAGGGGAGGAGAGGGGAGAAGAGCAGAGAGAAGGAAGGGAGGAAGGAAGGGAGGGAGGGAGGGAGGAAGGGGAAAAGGAAGGGAGGAAGAGAAAGAAAAAGAAGAGAGAGAGAGAGAGAGAGAGAGAGAAATAACAAAGGAAGGAAGGAGGAAATAATCCACTCTGAAAAGACTGCATACTGCCTGATTTCAAGTACATTCTGAGAATGACAAAAACTATGGAAATGATGTTTAAAAAGGAGTGGTTTCCAGGTTTGGGGGGGATGAGTGTGGTGGAGCTCAAAGAAATTTTAAGGCAGTGAAAATAGTCTGTTATGATATTGTAATAGTAGTATACGTCAGTATATATCAGTCCAAATCCATTGAATGTACAAGTGTGACACTTAATGTAAACTACAGGGGGCCTTGGTGATTACAATGCGGCGGTGGAGGTTTACCAGTTCTAACCAATGTATCCCTCTGATGGAGATGCCAATAATGAGGGAGTCTATGTACATGTGGGTTATCTCTGCGCCTTCCTCTCATTTGCTAAAACTGCTCTGATTTTTTAAAATTTTTGAACTTCAAATAAGTAATAAACAATTTTAATATAATTTATTTAAGTATGGCTCATGGAAATAGATTTGAATATCACACAGGAGATATACAGATATAGAGATAGATATAGATATATACATTACTCAAAATTCACATTTAACTGGATGTCCTGTATTTCAATTTTCCCAGTATAGCAACCCTAATCATACTCCAGCTAATGAAATAAGATGTGAGTTGACAGGCTGTCAGTGCTACCAGGAAAGGTGTGCTACTAGAGTGCTACAGTCAGGGAGTGCCCTGTTTTCTCATCATGGAGAGATCCTGCCAGTAAACATGGTGTCTCTCTGCAGAAGCATGGCATTGTTGGAAAGGCCCTGGATTTGAAAGAGGTCTGCACTTAAACCTACAAAGAGCACTTGCCAGTGTGTGGCTTTCAGAAAATCATGACATTTTTTAAAGTCTCCTTTGCTTTTGCCATAATTAAAAAATTTTTTAAAAGAAAGGGAAAGGACCCCTCTAGTATACTTAATAATTCATACAGGGCCCACTCTAGGGAAAATTAGAATCTTCCCATAGCAACATCAGCTGCCCACCCTCTCCCCATCACCGGCAAACACTGGCCCCTAAACATGACTGAAATCAGCCAGTGCTGATTGGCCCACACCCCAGAATCTTGATATTAGACTGAGTAAGCTTTCTCTGTAAAGGGCTGAATAATAAATATTTTAGGCTTTCTAGCCATGTGATTTATATATCATAAACTATTTTTGGCTTTCTGAATTTCTTTTGCAACCGCTCACCTCATCCCTTGTAGCATGATGAAAGCAGCCATCAATAGTACAAAAATGAATAGATGGCCTATGTTCCAATAAAACTGCACTTATGGACACTGACATTAGAATTTCATATAACTTTCCATGTGTCAGGAAAGACTACACTTATCTTGACTTTTTCTTAATCCTATAGACATGCAAAGACCATTCTCAGCTCATAGGCTATAGAAAAACAGGCAGCAGGTTGGCTCTGGTCCTCGGCTGTGGTTTGCTTACCCTTGCTCTGTAAGACTGAATGCTAATCTTGGAGAATCTCTTTAAACTAAAGGGGTGGTGATCCTACTATTCATGACCTACAGCAGTTATAGAAGGAGCTGGTCTTAGTCATTATACTGCCTGGGACTATGTGGTTAATTTATGGCCCCAATCCAGGGAGATTATGTCACCACTGGTAGTCTCCCCCTTCATCTATTTAAAAAAGTAAGGGGTCATTATATTTATATATATTACAGTAAGTGGTCATATTTAGCAAGCCACTAAATAAAGTGGTTGGAAAACACAAATGAGGACTATAAGGACATATTTAGCAGTGACAATCTGAGTACTGAGTAATACAGAAAATCGTACAGCAAAGGAAATAAAGAAATTAGATTGATTTTCTTGTAAATTTTCCACCACAATTCTTTACTTCATGGAAAGCAGAATAATCTATGAGGTCATTTTTCCTTCACACACAATTCGCTTTCATGGAGTTTGCAAAAAAGGGGAAGTGTTTCTCAGTAGAGAAGCTACAATGACAGACTGGGCCTAAAGAGAGCATTTTCTCATGCAGGGCATTTTTATTCCCGGCCTGACCCTTCCCTCTCTTCCTACACTGCTCCCCTTTCGCATCTGCAATGGCTCCCAGCATACCCCACCTTTCCATGCCCCACCTTTCCCCTTTCTGAGAAAGCTGCTATCTTTGATCTTTTCTCCTTCAGGATTGTGTTGCTAACATATGGCAGTACTTAGAACACAAACTGCAGTACTTAGAAATCAGTCTTGTTTTGATGAGATGGCATCAGGAGGATAGAAAAAAATTAGAGGAAATCTTTAAAACATATCAAAGTCCAAAGTGCTGGGTAAACAATGATAAAGAAAACAGGAGTACAGAAGGAAGGTGCTAGTTTCAGTAACCTGGGCTCTTGCACTGGGGAGATACGGCAATCCACTTTAAATGACAGGCCTAGGGAGGTTAGATAAAGGGTCCTTCAGGTGACAGAAGAGGACATGATCAGGTTTTGATAGAAGCAGAAATCACTCACCAGAGTAAAATGATAATTAGAGATAATTATAGTAGACTACGAGGGTGCCGGAGTGCTGTTGTCTACCTAGCCAGTTACAGAAAAGTCAACCTCATTTCTTATCACTTCAAATGTGCCCTTTTTATTTCTCAGCTGATGAATCTTTCAATCCTGGTGCATTTGCAGAGCATTTTGGTTCAACTGAAGTCAAATAAAAGACAATAAGATATGCATTCTCCATACAGCCTCATTTCTCCTCAGATGCTCAAGCAAGGGAGTTAAGAGAAGCAATATGGCAAGCCCGACCTGGGAAACGTAGTGACTCCGTAAGACCCTGTCTCAAAATAAAAAGAAGAAAGGCCAATCCCCAGCAGAGGGTGGGGGAGAGAGAGACACAGAGCCCTTTGAGGTGAGTAAGTGAGCATGAACACATGGATTTCTTCAATCCCTACATCTGTAGAATTGGAATAATACTCTGTGTTACTCACCACACTCTCTATTTTGAACCTGATGCAATGTGACACATAGAAAGACTCTGCGTATAATATCAATAAAAGTGTTTTGTTGTTGTTGTTGTTACTGTTATAGAAGGGGGAGTAGCTCATGTCAATTGCTGAGACACTGAATGACTGCTGTAGTTTAAACAGATGAATTGAGTGTTAATAAGCACATGTCTTGGTCACCACTTAGGACTGATGAGTCAGAGCTCTGGAGTATGAGGCCCAGGTCATGGGCTCCATGGGATTAGCTCATCTGACTGGGATGGCTGGAGCCTCTAAATTTAAAAAATCTAGAATTAAATCCCGTCTCTCCTCTTTCTTCACAAGCCCCTTAACCTCGTCAAGCCTAGGTTTCCACATCCCTAAAATTGGGAAAATACTACTACCTGCCAAGTTGAAAAGCTCAGAGATAACATATCTAATCTTTGCTGCATAGATTTCCCACAGATAAGAATAAATGTTGTTTAAAAGACCCAACACTGGTAAAGACCAGCTATTTTGCAAATTTATGTGAAGATTACATATGTGACAATCTGCTCAGATCCATCCCTGATTCTTAGTCAAACACTAAGACATGGCCCAGTAGTGGTGGGATCTGCATCTAAAAACGACAGCACAGTATGCTTCTTTCAGTTACTTTTCTTATTATAATATTTGTTTCTGAGATATCGGAAAGGAAATTGTGATAATTCTACCTAAATTGGCTATATGGCTACCCCAATCTTCCAGGCTCACTTTTAATCCTCCAAATCAGTTCATCCTGTCTATCACAAACTTCTGCCTCACTTTTCCCCTACATTCAATTAATACCCAGGTCAGACCACATTATTTATCAGATCTCATTATTTATCAAAGTTTCTCTGCCTGGAAAGCTGGATTTTGGCTTAAAGCGGTGTCTTGGAAACAATGGAATGCTGAGGTTTGTGTGCAGGAGGCTGATTGGGGAATGCTCTTAGAACACCTAGGTGGGAGCAAAGCAAACAGAATTCAGCAAAGCGGGGTGTTGAACCATGATCCTTCCACAACTGAGGACTCAGCTGACACTGTGTGAAGCCTTGGAGCTGGGAGGACCCCTAAGGGTTGTTGCAGATCATGTCAAAGAATTGTGCACTCCATCCAAAAAGGGACTCAGCTGAGATCCATTAGCAAACCAACCTCCCTTGCGTTGAGAATTGTGTGTCTCCCACTGAAAGACATCCAAGCTATATCCCACTGTAACAGCTGCTCCACTGCCCGGCCCACAGTGCCTATCCTCACCTCTGCCTCACCATCTGGTCCCCTCTTCACATCAAAATGTGGCTGCCTAGGAGACATTTTAAGATACCTCTTGCTGCCCCTGAAGAGTTCAAAGGCCACGAGTTCAAAGCCTACTTTTGGTGGTACTTCTCAAAATTCTAGTCAATGTGCAGAATGAGAAAGTTAATATCCCTTAATCATACACAGTGATGTGTGTTTTTCTAATTAGTTAAAATTTCCAGGGCCTCAGCATATTTAAGTATATTTAATGCTCCTTTGTTTGGTTCCTCATTTTGTTTGTAGGAAAAAAATATTTCATGGGTAATGATACAATTCTATTCTTACACAATATCCATTGGGGTTTTCATTTCCTTTATTTGCTGAATACTTTTTTATAAAGTATTCTTTTGAAAATATAACAAGAAGTTCTATATTCTAAAGAAAAATTCAAACGAGATGAGTAGAATTAAATTAAGAAATCTCTTGGGCTGTCAATGTAGTTCAGTGGCCATGCCTGCCTGGCAAGTTCAAGGTCCTGAGGTTGATCGCTGGAAATGAGAGGAAAAAAAAAAGAAATCTCTTAAATTACAGAAAAGTATTGACTTATTATAAAGAGAATATGATTGAAAAGAGAACCAATAATCAACATAAGTGTGCCTATTTCCCTTATGAAGAAATGAAGATTTGTGTCATCTTAGTGTATTTCCCATGCTGAAGTAATGTTCGATCAAAACCATGAAAATGGTTGCTTTGAAATAAATGTGTTGTGTGAATAAAAAAAAATTAAGTGACCCAATGAAGTCACATGTCTGTACAAAATGGAAGAGACAGAGGTATGAAAGATACAAATATATATTAATATGTACATTTATAAAATAATATAAATGCTATATATGTTATTTTCAATTTATCTATATATAAATGTATGTGTGCAAAAATGTATGTCAGGGAAATATATACACACATACACACACTTCTTTAAAAATGATACATTACTTCATTCACTTGGTAAAGTTAAACCACTTTATTTGAGCAAAGCATTGTAAAATGAGTGTCTGAAGTATCTCCAGGTCTAAGTCAACAGTATGTGGTGTACACATGGTCATTCTGATGCTTCCAAATCTACAGTGCAACACCATATATGGCACTACTCATAGACTAAGGTCTGGCTAATTGGCTCTGTTCATATGCCTATGCTTTGGAAACCTTGTGAAAATTTTTCCAATTTTTCTTCAGTTTCCTGGGATCATGATTTGTCTTTGGAATGTTCCCCAAATGCCTCATGCATCTGTAGATGGGCCCTGGAATCTGGGACCTGGTCAGAAGAGGCAGGTCACTGGGGGCATGACACGGAATAGTGTATTCTTGTCCACGGTTGCACTTTCTTGCTCTGCTCTCTGGTCATCATGATGTCAGCAGTTTCTGCAAAGCTGTTTGGTTGTGCACTTTCTGCCTTGAAGCCAGCAACCCTGGACTGAACTTACTGAAACTGTGAGCCAAAATAAGCCTCTCTTCCTTCAAGTTGTGAGTGTCTGGTATGTTGTCCCTGTGACAGCAAAGTAACATACACAGGGCAAACAATGCCATTTGGATCAAGTGTCTCCAGTCCATACTGGGAAGTGCATGGGCTGTGGCCCATATTTTTCTTTTCTGGGCACTCTGTATCATCTTCCCCATTGTGAGGTTGACCAGTTCTCCCAAAGAACCCCTACTCTCACAGCTTTATGGTTGTCTGGGGCCAGTGGTCAGGCCCTGTTCCAAGATTGTGGTATGGTGAGTGGATCACCTCCACTAAGCAGCGTGGTGCTTTTTTTATACAATCTCATAAGATTTGGTTGTTAGAGTGGTACTGACATGCTAATTTGAAAAGACTCACTCATACTGAATATGGGACTATTCAGGGTTCTGGACTCACTGTGCCCCTTGGGCTTGAGTCTGCCTATCACAGGCCTGTCAGTGTCCCCAGGAAAGTGTTTCTTCCTACGTATAGAACCTGAGGGTGATGTGGTAGCAGCAGGTGTCCTTCATACTGTGTAACTTTCACTTTTGTTGCTGGCTTCTAGATGGTCAACTCTCCTTAGAGGCTCCTTATCACTTATCAGATGGTCAGGGGTGACCCCACTCAACCCCAAGGCTTTGGAGAATCTTGTTCTACAATGCAAATGGCCCTAAACCTTTACAATAGATGTTTTCTTCATCTGATCAATATGGCAACATTTTACTTTCTAAATTGGTCTTTTTTGTGAGAATAAGAACACTTTTCTTGGTAGGCCCACAGGATCCTCTCCCACTGTCAACATTGAAAGAGATCCCCAGGAATGCAGCAATTATAGCCCAAAGCATTTAAGAGAAGACATGGTTGAAAAACATGCTAACCTATGTTTATACTGTGCTGCAAACAATAAGTTAAACATGACCAGAAAATGAATTAGTGCTTGATTTTCATGCATACCTTAAATAAAACTTACATGATTATCACACAGTAATATCCGTAAGAAAGTTATTGGAGGCTGATGTTCACAGGCAGCACAGTAAAGCATGAAGTGCCACGAATAATGATGTGACCAGCATCTAATAAGTGGTTATTAGAGACACGAAGAGGCAAGAAGACCTATGTGGCTTCAATGCAGACAGGCTCCAAAGAACTATGGCACTGTAAACCAGAACATATTCCTCACTTTTTCCCATGGTAAGAGATATAAAGTTAGCCAGGAATCGTGCATTTGATAATAAACAGCATAGAGAAGTAGTTCTTTAACTTATCAGAAGCCATGTTGCCTGAAAACCATGTGCACTGATTGAACAATAAGCAAATATGTAAATATCGTTTCTTTGCCTATTATCTTAAATCTGCACTGATGAATCTTCATTGATAAATGACTGTACCTGGTGGATCCATGACTCATCTTTTTTAATCAAATGTTTATGAAGAAAGGGACCCTGTGAAATACACACACATGCACACACACAAGCACACATGCATGCACATAGGCAAGCACACACATTCTCTCCCAAATCCCTGTACATCTTAGAGGTGGTCCCAATCATATGTGAATTTAAAAAGTTATCCTGAGACCCAGACACAGTATACAAACAAGAACTTTTGTGAGCCATTTTTCAGTACAGCAACTTTTCTGAATCTTTCCCAAGCTGTGAGGAATACCATTATCAGGTTCACTTGATGGTACTGTAGCAATCCAAAGGAACACCATCCAGTGCTTTTCTGGAAAATATATTGACTCAAAATCAAAATAGAGCTTAAGAAACTGATGAGAGCATCTCATCTATCCCACATCATTGATATTCCCCCATGTTCGCCATCCCTCTCTTTTTTTTATCCACTACTTAAAAGAAAAATTCTACAACTGTTTTAAATTTCAAATATAGGTAATTCATATTTAAAGATGGCCTCATATATTAGTTTTCCCATTGCTGCACACAATACCTGACACCTAGAACTTAAAGAAGAAGGGGTTTAATTTTGCTCATGCCGTAAGGGGATTCAGCTGAGTGAGAAATATCACAGTGAAAAGATGTGGTGGAGCAAAACTGCCTCGCTCATGGTCTGTGAGGCAGAGCAGCGGAACACTGCCAGAGAGGTTCCTTCTGGGGAAAAATTTACGTTTTTCAAATTGTTCTGCTTTGTCTGTAAATCTGGCTACAAGCAGTCAGCTATACTCATGCCATAGCCTAAACATTAAGCTATCTTGAAATATCCTTTGCCAGATTATTAATCCACCACATTTAAAATCAGTCTATTGTGAAGTTTTAGGAAATGGATGGTAAAAATGTAAAAAATTAAAAAAAAAAATGTGCCAGAGTGTAACACACATGGCCTCTAGCCCAACTTTCAATGGAGTCTTTATTCCCAGCTGAAACTTCCTATCTTGGCTTTTACTGTCTGGATTCTATCAGTATTCTGGTCTTCTGAACTCTGATCAAAATCACTCATCAAGCTCGGTTTACAGAATTCTAGGACTTCTCTAGCCCACATCTCCAAACCTTTCCAAAATCCTCCTGCAAACCAGCTCCAAAGGCTTCTAAAACACACGGTTAGGAACAGTGACAGCAATGATCCTACTCTTGGTATTGATTTCCTGTTTTCTGTATTAGTCAAGTTTCCTGTTGCTGAGCCCCATACTCAACACCCACAATTTAAAGGAGAAGTTTTTCCTCCCAGCTTCAGGGGATTCAATCCATGGTATGTCTCCCAGAAACATCATGCTGGGAGGGTATAGCGTAGCAAGCCTGCTTAGTTCATGGCAACTGGGAGGCAGAACAGGGGGACAGTGTCAGAGAAGAAGGAGGAAGGCAAAAGATATAGACCTCAAGGTCACACCTCCATGGCACACTCAGAGACCTGCCCCAGCAGTCCTGAGCAGACCTTAAATCCAATCAAGTTGACACTCCACCTGAAGCACACCTAGAACAGCACTGACCCAAGATATTTATAAGAGCTGACCCAGCTGATTCACTTTTTTGTCTCTGCTCAGTCTGAAATAGTCTAAATCTCAAAGAGGTCAATGAAAATGTTTCCTGGTTTTCAGACACTCCTGAGAAGAAGCCTCTATCACTCTCCTCAAACACACATGCCATTGCTTAATAATGTTCACATTGCCTCAGCATGAGACACACATCCTTTATCTGATGAATTTTGTATTAGTGAGCTTCCAGTCACTATAATAGAAACCTGAGATAAGCACCCTACAGAGAGAGAGAAGGGTTAGTTTGGCTTGGAGTTTTGAAAGTTTCAGTCCATGTCCAACTGGGCTATTTCTTTGGGCCTATAGCAAAGTAGCACATCATAGCAGAGAATACATGGTACAGAACACTGGCTTACTTCCTGGCTAGGATGCAAAAAGAGAGAGACAGTGAAACAGACCAAAGCCCCACAATCCCCTTCAAGGCATGCCCTCAATGACCTAAATTCTCCTACTAGGCCCTACCTCTTAACAGTTCCACCACCTTTTAATAGTGCCATGAGATGGTCTTCCAGGAGACATGGTCTTCAGGTCTCAACACATGGCCTTCCAGGAAACATTTCATACCCAAATTATCGGATCCTGTCCCTGGATTGATTGCCCAAGTCTTTGGACCTCTAATCAGAGACACCCAAAGCCCTATCCTACCCTGTGAAAGCAAGGAAAACAATTTAAGAGGCAAGCAACTTTTCCACAAGGATCATTCCTTAAATTCCTTTGAATGTACCTATTACTTTCATATAGAGATTCAAAATATTTTTTAATTTTAAAAAAAATTAATCTACAGGTATGTTGATAAATCCCTTTCCACAAAGAACATTTAAGCTCATTTGATTGATTCTGTGGTAATCGATGAATATCAAGCAATTTCTTTTCTTTCCTTTCTTTTCTTATTTTTTATTGTTCTTTTCTGTTTAGATTTGGTTCTTCTTTTTGCTGTTTTTTTCTATTTTAATTCAAAGTACCTTGATTTTTAACCCAGGTAAAAGAGATATGTTAGTTTCTCAACTGTCATGATTTTGTTTGGCAGCTTGTCTCAATTCCTAAAATATAGAGAGGTAAATTTCTTCTTTGTCAGCTTTTAAGTCAGACCCACTGTGAAAAAAACACCACTGAGCCTTTATTTCCACCTTCTAACACCACAGAACACATTTTCCCTTCCATCTCCCCAAGCAAATGACTTTAGAGTCTTTAGGGCACATTTGTCATTCAGATATAAGAAAAGAAAGCTCAAATGCAGTGATTCACATGGCAGCAGTTACATGCAAAAAAAAAAAAAAAATATGGAGCTCTCTTTAATCTACTGTAAATGACCGTAAATCCATTCACAGACTAATAGTGGAAAACGTAAGCTAGACAATCAAGGTAAACTTAGTCATTCTAGTCAAGTCAAGATGCCTTCTTCTTTCTTCTTCTTCCTCTTCTTCTTCCTCTTCCTCCTCTTCCTCCTCTTCCTCTTCTTCTTCCTCTTCTTCTCCTCCTTCTCCTTCTTTCTCCTTCCTCTTCCTCTTCTTCCTCCTCCTCCCCCTTTCTTCTTCCCTCTTCCTCTTCCTCTCTCCT